CTCTAAACACATACACAGGTTGTATTGCCGACTAGCACTTGCACACGCCTTTGCCTGTTGCTTTATAAAGGTAGGCCTAATAAATCACCCCCCTCAACCCATAAACCGTAAAGCCCTACCTACACCCTAAACCCTAAAACCCAGTTGCTCAATAAAGACGGTCCTGTGGAGGAGTTGGTTGATGAGAATCGCAGTGTCATTTGGGCTCTGCTCAAACAAGTTAAAGTGGGCATGGACCTGTCCAAAGTCACGCTGCCCACATTCATCCTGGAACCCAGGTGTGTGCATGAGATAACTTAAGTGTATCAACAAGTCAAAGTGGGCATGGACCTGTCCAAAGTCACGCTGCTCACATTCATCCTGGAACCCAGGTGTGTGCATGAGATAACTTAAGTGTATAAACAAGTCAAAGTGGGCATGGACCTGTCCAAAGCCACGCTGCCCACATTCATCCTGGAACCCAGGTGTGTGCATGAGTTAACTTAATTAACTTAAGTGTGTGTGCATGAGTTAACTTAATTAACTTAAGTGTGTGTGCATGAGTTAGCTTAAGTGTATAAACAAGTTAAAGTGGGTATGGAACTGTCCAAAGTCACGCTGCCCACATTCATCCTGGAACCCAGGTGTGTGCATGAGTTAACTTAATTAACTTAAGTGTGTGTGCATGAGTTAGCTTAAGTTTATAAACAAGTCAAAGTGGGCATGGACCTGTCCAAAGTCACGCTGCCCACATTCATCCTGGAACCCAGATGTGTGCATGAGTTATAACTTAATTAACTTAAGTGTGTGTGCATGATTTAGATTAAGTGTATAAACAAGTCAAAGTGGGCATGGACCTGTCCAAAGTGTGTGTGCATGATTTAGATTAAGTGTATAAACAAGTCAAAGTGGGCATGGACCTGTCCAAAGTCACGCTGCCCACATTCATCCTGGAACCCAGGTGTGTGTGCATGAGTTAACTTACGTGTATAAACATGAGTTAATTTAAGTGTATGTGTATGAATTAACTTAATTGTGTGCGCATGAGTTAACCTAAAGTGTATAAACATGAGCTCACTTAAGTGTGTGTGCATGACTTCAAGTCCTTAGACCTTCCTTCCGACGCCTTCTACCACTCCCGCGTGTTCATATAAGGCAACCGATTGCTCATCCTGTCGCGTGTGTGTCTGTGTCTTCTAGGTCGTTCTTAGAGTTGCTGTCGGATTACTTCTACCACTCCAATGTGTTACAAATAGCCGCACGCACCCATGACGATCCCATGCAGCGCATGATTGAAGTGGTGCGGTGGTATCTGTCAGGCTTCTACAAAACAGTAAGTACACTCACACGATGGAATATATATATATATATATATATATATATATATATATATATATATATATATATATATATATATATAC